ACTCTGAGTTGAATATGCAGCTAGTTTTTTATTTTTTAAGTGAGGTGTGAGGACCACGCCGCAGTGAGTTGGTATGCAGGAGGGTCTTCTGTTTTCCAGTTTGCTTGCCTGTAAAATGCTTTCTAACCTTGATATTGTCAGTGACATTTATATCTAGCGATGGCAGTTCGGTTGACATAAATTTAACAATGGGGAGCCAAGCAAGACAGGTGAGGAAATTTCAACGATAAGCGTCTAGGGCCGGTGAGCACAATGAAGGGAACGCTTAGAAAGCCACTTTCTGAGCACATTCTTTTCATATCTTTCCAGGGCTAATGCTAAAAAACAAAAAACAACAAAACAACACCTGTTCTAGCAGCCAGCAGTTAATTGAAAAGAAAATCAACATTAATGATGTATTTTCTAAAAAGCTTAAACACATGAGACTTGCAATTATAAAATTCCATGAGTCAGTTTTAGTCCCCATTCATTTCTGTCCTGGTAGATTTCATCTGTTTTGACAACAACTCAAAGCAAGAACAACTCATCGCACTGTCTGAAACGGCACCTTAAAATTCCAGTCACTTTCTGGGTGCTGCTGAGCTCCCCAGTGTGGGGGCCTCAGTGGCCGGCGGTGAGAATGGAATCAGGGTATCCTGAGGGGGCGGCTGAGCACCCCGCCTCCCTATTCTCCTTTCCCCCCACTTTCCATCCCTGGCAAACGGGCTCACCGCCATGTGACTGGCTCCTTATCTGTGTGACGAAAACGAGGATGGAGACAGCTAGGAGAGCCTTGTTGTTATCTGTTCAATCATGAGGCCCTCACGTCCGAGGCCCCGGAGTGGCCCTGCTTTGACAAACTACCGCATTTAACAGTGTGCATTTTTCTCTCCGAGCTCTTGAGCCAGCCATCCGGGGAAACAATGATCTAATAATCTACGCTAGCACGCAAAAGGCCCGTGCTATCAGTAATCTTTTCCTGAAAACATCGACATGGGGAGACATTCAAACCAAATGCTTTTTGTAAGTTATAAGGAAATCAGGCTGAGGCTCAAGTTTTTTGGCAACAATGTTGAGAATATTACACTCTGTTCCCACAATAGCATAAAATGTATGTCTTATCACTTGAACAGAGCCCAGACAATGAAAGGGCGCCCGAGGCTGGAAATCTGTCTTATGAGAAAGGCCAAACCAACCCTCAGTGATAGCACCAACAGGGGATAGAAGAGTGAACAGAAATGATTACAGCACAGAAAGTCACAGCATGATGAACGCAGGGGGCCCAGAGCCCCCCGCCCCCAGGCAGCCACGTTACTGCAGACCCCGGGGTACAGTTTCCTGATGTGCAAAATGGGAACTATATTCCAGATATTCCAGCGGGCGTGCTGGGGGGACCAAAGTTACTGGAAAATGCTTTCAAATATAATATGTGTTACCAGTATCAGGTAAAGGTACATCTCACTTCCTGGTGCCGGGAATTTAATTTTTGTTTTCCTGTTTATTTTCATGCATATTCAGGCGCCTATAAGTGTTTGTCTCTCAAAAATCCCCATTTCTCCTTCTGGTTAAATGATTCATCGAGAATCTTGGCCTAAGTGTGCTGGTGTTTCAGGGAAAGCAGACTCTGGGGACTGAGGGGGAACATAATCATGATTGTTCGAACAGCCTCGTTATACGGCAGCTGGCATGTATGAGCTTCTCCACGGAGTACATGAGAAGATGTGGCTTACGTGCCACATGCTGAGCCCTGCGTGGAGATTTCATACATCCACACCACTCTGTGCCGGGAACACGGGCGGCAGCAAGGAGGGGTGCGAGACGGTCACCCCAGAGCTGTGTCTCCCAAAGAAAGAGCTGAAGGTTAGAAGACATTCTAAATACTAGAATAACCATTTACCGGATTTTAAAATATTTGCAAATGTTGGGACATTGTTTTTTAAGATACAGTGAAGGGATAAAAAGGCCTAGCTGATGGGTTAGAGTGCTGAGATGGTGGAGGCCCTACATTTTTTTGGTGGTGTCCACATTTACCTTTGCAAAAACAAAACAAAACAAAACTTCTCAGAGGTCTCCAACAGCTAAAGAAAAACTGCTTGTCCATCCCGTGACTTTATTATGCCTGCAAACACAGAGAGCCCCCCAAAGACAAGGAATAAATATGAAGGCACTGAAAAACCTGGCATCTTTATGACGAAAGGTAAAGTACAAATCTGAAAGTGGACAGGACAAGCCACTTTTAAGACTTTTAATGGCTTTACCCAAACTACTGTAAGTCTGAGCGCATCTACCTCACACAACAGCTGACATTCCAGATAGAAACACTTCATTTATACATTTTGAGTATTGCTTTTCATAATTTGTCACAAAGTAATCCTTTTTCTTTTAAATTGGTGCTTTAACATGGTTCTAAGAATCGTTTGATTCCTAATTTGAATTTCCCAACATTTTGAGAATAAAATATTCTTTAGAAGTGTTTATAACAAAAGCTAACGGGAAGGAGACAGGTCTTCAAAAGACAACATCTGCTTTGTCAGAAGGTCGGGATGACCACTCTGCGTGTCGGTGGATTCTGTCACCGGAGGGCTCTGGATAAGGCCCACTGGAGACGGAAGACGTTCTGCGCTCTCTGGGGTCATCTCCTCTGGTCACCGCGTTAGCACCCTGTTTATGGACGGGGTAACAAGGTCCAGGACAATCGAGGAGTCGCCTCCCGTGGGAGAAGGGGCGCGTGACCGGGCCTGGGTGAGGACGACACACTACGCTCTGGACCGTGTGTCCTGTAGGTCCGTGCACGTGAGTACATACAGCAACACGAAACCTCTGCTTTCACACAGCTGGAGCTATTATGTTTAACTCAGTAGAGAGAGAGATGAGTATAAACTAATAAGCACTTGACAAATACAGGCCCTAGGCCCCATGCGAGCAGGCTGCAGAGGACACACGGCAGACGGGGCCATGGCTGCCGAGTCGGGGGGCTCATCTGATGAAGAGCATCTCTCCGACTGAGAGCCAAAGGCAGCAGGACGCACAATAGCCGGAAGCTGCCAGGGGCACACACAGATGGTGTAATCAGTGACAAATCAGAAACAGGACATGCATTATGGGAGAGGAAAGCCACAGAGGCTCGGGTCCATAGCCCCAGCTCAGAAACTCAAAGGATTCCAAAGGGCCTTGCAAAAATGAAACCCTAGGCTCCTAAAGCCCACCAGCAGGACAGACGAGGGCAAAACAACCAGAGGAACCAGGCAGAGAGCCGACTGCACCATCTGTGTACAAAACGCACGGCAACAGGAAGCAGCCGAGAGTTCTCCAACCTGGAAATAATACGAGTGCAGACCCAGCTCGGCCCTCTGCACAGCACACGGTGCCCAAACTCTGGGCTGCTGGTTGTTGATGTGGACTGCTGATATCAATCTATCAATCGTGTGCACAGTTCCGCTAGCTGAAGGAGATCTTTTTTTTTGAAAGTACAATTCTGGTCCCCAGTTGGTGTCATTTTGATTCATGAACTTTTCTACAAAACAAAACAGAACCTCTGTTTTTCAGAACATAGGATGTTTTGAAGGTTATATTCTTGGCATTTAGAAAAGAGTAAACAGCCTTTGGCTTTTGGACTGTAGCTAAAATCATAGTATTTTTTTTTTTTTTAGTTTCCAAGCAAAAGATAAGTTACTCTGCATCAGATAGTAAAAAATTATTTTGATCACCATACTTTTAAAATATATCATAGGATGGCCTTCAATCACTTAAAAGGTATTCATACAGTGTCTGTAGTTATATGTGCATGTAACTTGGACAAACGTGGTATCTACTTATCTGTTAAAGGATAATGTGTAGGAAAGGGTGAGAAAAGCCAGAAATTTGCGATTTTAGAGACAAGGGTAAGCAAACAGGAGGAAGGCTGAAAGGAGACAGGGGAGGAGAGGGGTGGGAGGGAGGGCGCCAGGTAAGGACCTTGGCCAAAGGTGTGGAAACTGGAGTCATTCACTGGTGGGGACAGCTGTGCCCTCCTGCCCACCCCAAACCCGTATGTCAAAATCCTAACACCCAGGACCTCAGAACGTGACTGTATTTCAAAATAGGGCCTGTCGAGAGCTGATGACGTAAACCAAGGCCATTAGGGTGAGACATAATCCAGCAGGACTGGTGTCTTCTGAAGAAGAGTGGGTGAGGGCACAGCTGCGCTCAGAGGGAGGGCAAGGGAGGACCGCGGGAGAGGGTGGCCGCCTGCCAGCCAAGGAGAGAGGCCTCAGCCTGCTGCTTCTCGACTTCGCCTCTTGTGCTCTGTCATGGCAACCCCTGCAGACCAACAGGCATCAGAACCCAGCAGAGGAAGAAGTCAAGTGTGTCCCCAAGGTCATTCCACCACGTGACTCAATGACAGCACAACGCCGCCGTCCACAGATCGCGCCTCCCTGTCCGCGAGCTCTCTCCTCTTGGTGGCCCCCGCAGATCGCCCAGAGCTGGCGTGACAGATGGAGCCCACTGTCTCCACATCAGTTCCCTGGAAATCAGGGCTTATCAATACCACCTCTTCCCCTCCAGAAATTCATGACGTGGTTGGCACAGCGCTGCGCTGAATGGACGCCAGGCACATTCATTACATTCACGTTACGAAAATCACAGCTCCTCGCTCACTGAGCAGGTGGCAGACGAGGGGCCGGGAGAGAGGGTCTGGGGTCAGAGGTGGACAGGCCTGTCCTGTGGCCTCAAGGGCTGGGGCCGCTTTGGGTAGACTGGTCCCCATGAACTATATGCTGTGGCTGACAGCAAAAGCAGGCATGCCTTCATCAGCAGGTGAGGGATAACAGGATTCTGTTAAGGCAGAGGCGTGGACACTGAGCAGTCCAGCCAAGGCCCCCAGGGAGGGGCCTGGGCGAGATACTCCCCCTGGTGAATCCTGAGCCCCCACAGCGCAGTGGCTCTAAGGGGGCGCCCAGGGCCTACTGCAGTCACAGGCACCTTGCCCGCATCCCCCGCGCCCCCGGCAGGACCCGCGGCTGTCCCGTGCAGATTCCTACCTAATATCCACCTTTCCGACAGGTACTTGAGTGTCGCCTTCTTCTTTCCTTGGAAGGGCCCAATGAAGATGCTGGCCTGGCGAGGGACGTGCGCCACCCGACCCCCGCACAGGCGGACCAGCTCACACAGCTTGGCTCTGGGGGGCTCGCTGGCCCGGGAGATGAACATCATGGGCTGGTCGGCAAACAGGGTGCCCTGGTACTGCCCCGCGGACAAACGGCGCTCCAGGCGGCAGAGCTGTGGGGCAAGGACAGAGGGAGGGTCAGGCGCCCAGCCACGTCTGGGTCTAGGGCAGCTCGGCCACAAGGCTCACTTCCTTTTCAGAACAGGGATACACTGAACGGCAAGGCTGCATGTTCTCAGCTGTGACTGGAATTCTGAGGCCCGGAGCACATAACAACATGAAAATTGACATGTTCTGAAGCAACCTGTACGCAAAACTCTACCAAACAATGTACAGGCAAAACGACGTTTAGGCCTGTGACTAATTACATATTGTCAAGTAAAATATTGCAAGTAATCAGTAGAGTGAGGGGGGTTGCGCCTGTGTCTGTGAGCCCCCATGAACTACCGGGTGACTGTGGAAGTGACAGCGAACGCCCCTGCCCCTGAAGACCAGCAGCAGCGTTCAGCACCCTGTGCGTCAGGACTTCTGGCAGCAAGTGGCTGTGAGAGGACTGGGAAGTGCTCTAAATGAGGATGGGGACGGGGCAGTGCAGAGCACACTTCCTACCGCCACTCCCCGGGAGAAGCAGGCTGGTGGGGGGGGGGCGACGGGGTGGGGGGACCTTGACATGTGCACAGGGCACTTCAGTAACTCCCCGGGGAGTGGCGATGACGAGAGTCTGGCCAGTGGGAAATGTCTCAGAATGGGCGATGTTAAACTGTGTTCCTTTTTGTGGAGGCGGTGAAGGCCTGGTCATTCTAAACACACATGTCATTCAGGACAGATTAAGGAAGACTGCTTTTAAAGTGCAAATTCCCTCTGGCACCTTTTGAGGGCTCCCTGCTATGCCCATTTCCGTTTTGAGTGTTAGGACCAGTTTATCACCCCAGAGGATAGAACTAAACACTGGAGAGCAGAGGCTTGGAGAATTCAGGGGTTTTGAGGGGAGGTCTGCAGGGAAAGAGATCATAGGGTGCTTCTCAGGGGAGTGTGACGGGGTGGGTGGCAGTGCAGAGAATCAGAGGGCGGGAGGGTGACAGAGACCATGGCGCATGTCACATGCTCTGACACAGTCGGAGACTGGGTTGTTCTCCCACCAGGTAGGTGTTCTTACTACTATCATTTTTAAGACAAGAGGATCTTACTGTAAAAAAAAAAAAACTCCAATGTTAATGGAATCGATTCAATACACCTAAATATGGCTGCGGAATTCTCTTTTCTCACTCCAGCTTTGGATTTTGCATAAAGGAACAGCTCCCAACTGCCTGGGGTAAGTGGTAACGCGGTGCCAACAATACAAACAAGGGTTCTACTTGTGGTAACTTTGTTCATCTTTGCATGACTCCAGGGGAAAAGGTTATTCGTTTAATTCTGCAGATGAAGATACTGAGGTAGAAGAGGTCTGTTCTGGCTAAATGGTGAGAGGAGCTGCAAAAAAAGGCCCCCGATCATGAACTCAGTGAGTCACTGGACCACGGTGCACTGAAGCCGGGGACCAAGAATCTTATTAAAGTTGGGTATAATCACACATTTAAAAAGTTAGTTATAAAAATAACTGATAACTGAAACAAGACAGAAGGGTCTCAGTAAAAAGTGAACTGTCCTGTTACGGACAGCTGTCTGTTACTCAAATCCACTTCTATCTTGTTTCCTTAGTGGCAGAGCACGGTCTCTTTTGGGTGTTAACCTCTGCCGGGCCACATGTCCCAGCCCATGGGGAAGACTCAGAATGGTCCAAGGTAATCATGGTGACCTCATTTTCCTTGTCAAGGATGGAGTCAAGCGTGGGCGGGCCCCAATCCTGGCCAATGGGACCTCAGGAGAAATTGGCTGGGGGCAGGTTTTCCTCACTCACATAAACCAATGAGTAAGCAAAAACACCTCTCGTGGGCTGGACTCTGTCACTTTGACACAGGATACATGGAATTACTGAGGCCATGGGACACGCTGAAAATGCCAAGTGTGAAGATGGAAAGGCCTGAATCCTAGATAATGTTTCTAAGTGACTGACTAAACCAGGAAGTGTCCTCCTTTGTCCTTTCTATGTCAGGGGGAAAAAAAAATCTTTAAGCTACTTTCTGTTGAGATTTTTGTTTCCAGAAGACCAAAGCATCCAAATGCTACAGTTCTCACGCCCAGAGCTAACCTCTGTTAAGAGTTTGCTGTGTGACTTCAAGTAAAGGGATGGAAAAAGATATTTCATGCAAATGGAAATGAAAAAAAAACCTGGGGTAGCAATACTTATACCAGACAAAAAAGACTTCAAAACAGGGGCTGTATACAAAAAACAAAAGCATTTTCATAATGATAAAGGGATCAATCCAACAAGATAATAGAACTCTCATAAATACCAGGGGTGCCAAAAAATGTATACACTTTTTAAGAGATGTTATCTATGTACTACTTTTCAAAGTTGAATTGAATTAGGTAGCAATGTGTAGTACGACATTCGCTCAAAAGATGGCATTAATCAAATGAATGCTAGTGTCGCCATGCGACAGGCAGGACAAAGAAAAGAGCGGAAACACAGTTGTCATTTGAGGAGCGCAAGACGATTTTGAAGACGTATTTGAAATTCAAGAACGTTGTGGAAGTACAACAATGGAGGCGTGAGTATGCAACAGAACCTCCAACGCGCCTAACAATTGCACACATTCATGATAAGTGTGAGACGCATGGTCCTGCGTGTGATGTGCACAAGGGAAGATCCGGGAGGCCTCACACAGCAGCAAGTCCTGCTGCTTCTGCTGTGGTGTTGGAACAGCTTACACGCTCGCCACCGAAGTCTACCAAACAGTGTTCGCCATAATCAGAAGTGTCTGGATGCTGATGGGAACCACTTTGAGCACCTCTTGTAATTGCAGAAGTCAAACGTGACTTGTATTCATCTTCTGTTATTGGTATATATTGAGCATTACAATTTTAATACAGTTTTTTCCTTTCTTAAAATGTGCATACATTTTTTTGACACCTGCTCTATCTACACACCCAATGTAGGAGCATCTAAATATATAAAGCAAATATTGATAGACATAGAGAGAGTGATTGACAGTAACAGTCATAGTTGGGGACTTGAACACCCCATTGGCATCAATGGATAGGTCATCCACATAGAAAATCAACAAGGCAACAGTGGCCTTAAATGACACATTAGACCGGATGGATTTAACTGATATTTTTAGGACATTTCACCTAACATCAGCAACATATACATTCTTTTCAAGTGCACACGGGACATTTTCCAGGACACATCACATGTTAGGTCACAAAACAAGTCTCAATCAATTTAAGAAGACTGAAATCATATCAAGAATCTTCTCCGGTTATAACGGAATGAAACTGGAAATTAGTTACAAGAAGGAAACCGGAACGCACAAACACGTGGAGGCTAAATAACGTGCTCCTAAACAATGATGGGTCAACAGGAGATCAAGGGAGAGCCCAAAAGACACCTCAAGACAAATGAAGGTGAAAACCCAGCCACCCAGAATCTACGGGACACAGCCAAAGCAGGAAAATTTATAGCAATAAGGCCTCCCTCAAGAAACAAAAAAAATCTCAAACAACCTAACCTTACAGCAATCTAACCTTACACCTAAAGGAACTAAAAAAAAAGGAAGAAGAACAAACAAAGCCCAAAGCAAGCAGAAGGAATGAAATAATAAGGATCAGAGTGGAAAAATACAAAACAGTCTAAAAAAATAGAAAATATCAATGAAACCAAGAGCTGGTTCTTTGAAAAGATAAACGAAATTGATAAACCTTTAACTAGATTCATCCAGAAAAAAAGAGAGGGCCCAAATAAATAAAATCAGAAATGATAGAGGAGAAGTGAAAACTGATGCCACAGAAACACAAATGATTAATACGAACGATTATATGCCAACAAATTGGACAACCTAGAAAAAAATGGATAAATTCCTGGAAACATACAATCTTCCAAGGATAAATCAGGAAGAAACAGAAAATCTGAACAGACCAATAACTACTAATGAAAATTGAATCAGTAATCAAAAAACTCCCAAAAAACAAAAGTCCTAGATCAGGTGACTTCACAGGTGAATTTTACCAAACATTTAAAGAAGAATTAATACCTATCCTTATCAAACTGTTTCAAAAAATTGACGAGGGAGGATGTCTCCCAAATTCACTTCACAAGGCCAGTGTTACCTTGATACAAAAACCAGACAGAGACACTACAGAACAAGACATTTATAGGCCAATATCCCTGATGAACACAGAGGCAAAAATCCTAAACAAAATATTAGCAATCAAAATCAGCAATACATTTATAAAAAAACTCAACACCAAAAAAAACCATACAACTCAACACCAAAAAAAAAACCAACCCAATTAAAAAATGGGCAGAGGATATGAAGAGACATTTCTCTAAAGAGGACATACAGATGGCTAACAGACATATGAAAAAATGTTCAACATTACTAACCACTAGAGAAATGCAAATAAAAACCATAATGAGAAACCACCTTACTCCGGTCAGATTGGCATCATCAATAAATCAACAAACAACAAGTGCTGTCGAGTATGTGGAGAAAAGGGAACCCTCATGTACTGTTGGTGGGACTGCAGGTTGGTGCAGCTTCTATGGAAAACAGTACGGAGGTACCTCAAAAAATTGAAAATGGAGCTACCTTATGACCCAGCAATTCCACTTTTGGGTATCTATCCAGAGAAATCCAAAACACTAATTTGAAAAAATATATGCACCACTATGTTTATTGCAGTGCTATTTACAATAGCCAAGACATGGAAACAACCATAATGCCCATCAATAGATGACTGGATTAAGAAATTGTGGTACATTTATACAATGGAGTATTACTCCACTATAAAGAAGAAGGAAATCTTACCATTTGCAACGACATGGATGGACCTAGAGAATATTAGGCTAAGTGAAATAAGTCAGAAGGAGAAAGACATACCATATGATCGCACTTATATGTGGACTCTAAACAGAATAAACGAACAAATAAAACAGAAATAGACTCAAAGATATAAGGGGAAAAAACCTGATGGTAGCTAGATGGGAGGGGGGGTGAGAAGGGGGAGA